CATGAAAAGTACAAACATGAAAAGTACGAGCATGAAAAGTACAAACATGAAAAGTACAAACATGAAAAGTACAAACATGAAAAGTACAAACATGAAAAGTACAAACATGAAAAGTACAAACATGAAAAGTACGAGCATGAAAAGTGCGAGCATGAAAAGTATGAGCATGTACAGCATCAATACTTAGTTGTTGCTCCTTTAGCCTGGATTACTGCAGCAATGTGGCATGGCATGGAGTCAGAGTTTCTTTGTCATATGCAACACATGGTATGGTGGAACGAAATTGTGTACACAGGGTCCCAGTACATCCACCAAAAGTATAACATGTAAAAGAAAAACAGTAATAAGATCTAAGATATGAACTAAGAAAAACTTAACTAAAAATAGGCTAAGCACTAGTAGTGCAAAAACAACACATCGAATAGCAGCATGGACATGAGTCTGTGTGCGAGACGCTTCTGATGCTGTCTCTTGTTCAAGATTTGACACAAACAATGCGACAGCTGAACCCCTTGTCTTGCATACGTCTGAGCGTGGTGGTTCTTGAAGCACTGACTCCAGCTGCAGTCCACTCTTTGTGAATCTCCCCCACATTTTGGAATGGGTTTTGTTTCACCATCCTCTCCAGGATGCAGTTATCCCTGTTGCTTGTACACTTTTTCTACCGCATCTTTTCCTTCCCTTCACCTCTCTATTAATGTGCTTGGACACAGAGCTCTATGAACAGCCAGCCTCTTTAGCAATGACCTATTGTGTCTTGTCCTCCTTGTGCAAGGCGTCAATGGTCGTCTTTTGGACAACTGTCCAGTCAGCAGTCTTCCCCATGATTGTGTAGCTACAGAACTAGACTGAGACCATTTAAAGGCCTTTGCAGGTGTTTTGAGTTAATCAGCTGATCAGAGTGTGACACCAGGTGTCTTCAATATTGAACCTGTTCACAATATTCTAATTTTCTGAGATACTGAATTTGGGGTTTTCATTAGTTGTCAGTTATAATCATCAACATTAAAAGAAATAAACATTTGGAATGTATCAGTCTGTGTGTAGTGAATGAATATAATCTACAAGTTTCACTTTTTGAATGGAATTACTGAAATAAATCAACTTTTTCATGATGTTCTAATTTATGACCAGCACCTGTATGTTACACATTTAAGTCTAAATATGAAACATTTTATATATATTATTTTGATTCACTTCATTTACAAGAAGAGGCCTTTATAAAGACACAATTCACACACAATTTTTAACCAGTAAAATGTTGTTTGGCTTGTTTTTACCAACGACTACAACTTTAAAATCTGTATAAAAATATCTTGTAGGCGATAAAACATAATATTGTTATTTTGGGGTTTCTTGTATATTCAGTTGCAAGACGTGGCAAAAGATCCCAGACAACAAAAAATGTGTAACAAATATGCATAAATAAATTTGGGGGGGACCAAAAACAACAAAAAAACAGAAAGTTTACTGCAATTATTCAGATCATAATTATGAAGTACCGTAATTTCCGGACTATAAGCCGCTACTTTGTTCATACGCTTTGAACCTTGCAGCTTATACAATGCTGCGGCTAATTTATGGATTAAACAAGTGTTTTTTTGATGGCTAATGGGCTTCATGTTGTCAAAACATTTAGCCTCGTCAAGCCCACACGTAGCTGCCCATTTACGTCTCTCTCAGGGGTGTCCTTGTGACTCAATGACACTACCTGCATAAATAAAGGTGAAAAAATCTGACCAATCAAATTACTGAACAGGTCACAGTGGGGAGGGGGGGCTTGGTTTTTCCCTCCCTGGGGGCACAACAAAGTATTTTCAGCCACTCAAAATAAGTGCAACTTGTGCATTTAAAGTGACACTCCGAGCTCAGTGGGCGCCTTGGATGAATGGTGGCGAGAAGTCATTCAGCAAAACTGGCCGCATGGCAGTTTGCTTCAGTCTGACAGTGGATCCTGCCAGTGGATCCTGCCAGTGGATCCTGCCAGTGGAGCAGTGTAAAAAGATCCTTCATCACCAACGTGTTAGGAAAGGCTGCTGCATGATGGTAAATGGACTGATGCAGCTCCTTTCTGTCTTATCAACACACTCAGAGCTCTTTACAACGATCTGTGCCTCATTGACCCGTTCATACAGCTCTATACTAGATCTACACAAAGACTAATCAGAGCTTTAGATCACATTCATACACTGATGGGACACACATCAGAGGCAACGAGGGGTTCAGTGTCTTGCCCGGGGACACTTCGACATGTGACTGCTGGTGGATTGGAACCCCCAACTCTTGCATTGGAGGACGCCTGCCGTAACCACTGAGCCACAGCCTCCCTGAAGAGGACGGTACAAGCTTGTGCAGGAGGAAGATGAAGACAGTGATCAATGACTTCCTGGTAGACTACTGGTTTTATTTTTTCCTCGCCCTGTTACAGTCACTGTAAAAACATTTAACGTACGCATGTGTGTATGTTACGATACGCGTTTAGTTAAAAGTTTAAAATATCTTTCTGTGTAAATATCTCATGTTACAACAAGGCACCGCGGCTTATAGACACGTGCGGCCTGTATATGTACACATTTTTTATTTAGTGGGCATGGCTTATGGGTGTGCTCAATAATCCAGAAATTACGGTAAGCTGCGTTCAAGTGGTCTTTGAAATGTATAAACCCCCTGCTGCCCTGTCCACAAGCAGCAGAACTCTACTGAGGAAGAGCTGGTACTCAACAACACAATGAACACACCCTAAGCATGCACGCCTAAAGGCCCTGCAGTGTGCTTCAGCTGCAGGGCCTGGATCCATACAAGGACGTCCGACTCGCCACGTGATCACACAGTGCACGTAGAAAACAGATTTTACATTCAGACTTTATTTTCTGCAAGCACATAAGAAAAGGTGAGCACAGGGACAAAACAAGTCATACCATTTGTTTGAAGGAGATCGATTTCTTTGCTAAGGCAGTCGATGTCGATCTGCAGTGCCCTGTTTTTGCATCGCAAATGCTTCATTTCGTCAATCTGGAAAAAAGAAGAAACTAGTTAGATTTAGTTTACCGAGTTAGTAGTTACTAACAATTTACTTTAACAACTTAATGTAAGAATAGCAACAAATAACATTGCGTCATTCTGTTCTAACCTACAAAGCCCTCAACAACCTAGCTCCATCTTATATTACAGATCTTATTGTTCCATATTTTACTAACAGAGCACTTCACTCTCAGACTGCAGGTTTACTTGTGGCTCCTAGAGTTTCCAGCAGCAGAATGGGAGGAAGATCTTTCAGTTCTCAGGCTCCTCTCTTGTGGAACCAACTTCCAGTTTCTGTCCATGAGGCTGACACATTGTCCAGTTTAAGACTGGGATTAAGACTTTCCTTCTTCATAAATCCTGTAGTTAGGATAAAAGGTAAATGGACCTTTCTATCAACACACTCAGAGCTCTTCACAACAGTCTGTGCCTTCATCTACCCGTTCACACAGCTCTATACTAGATCTCTACAAAGAATAATCAGAGCTTTATCACATTTAGACACTGATGGACACACACCAGAGGCAATGAGGGGTTCAGTGTCTTGCCCAGGGACACTTCAGCACGTGGCTGCTGGTGGAATCAAACCCACAACTCTTGTATTGGAGGCTCTAACCACTCAACCACAGCCGCCCAAATCAGCTTGTGTTTCCTGAGCTGTCCTTTAGTCCTGCTGCTGTCTTTACTGGTTTGTATTTATTTTCATCCCAACGTGTTTTTTGTCTTTCCTCCTACAGAAACCACATCTGGACCTGTCACTCTGTGTCTGTCTCTCCTTCCTGTCCTCTCAACCAGCCCCGTCTCTCCTTCCTGTCCTCTCAACCAGCCCCGTCTCTCCTTCCTGTCCTCTCAACCAGCCCTGTCTCTCCTCCCTGTCCTCTCAACCAGCCCTGTCTCTCCTTCCTGTCCTCTCAACCAGCCCCGTCTCTCCTTCCTGTCCTCTCAACCGGCCCTGTCTCTCCTTCCTGTCCTCTCAACCAGCCCTGTCTCTCCTCCCTGTCCTCTCAACCAGCTGGTCAAAGCAGATGGTCTCTTGTCCTGAGCTGGTTCTGCTGGAGGCTTCTTCCTGTTAAAGGGAGTTTTTCTTCCCACTGTCTCCACTGGGCTTGCTCAGGATGGGAGGCTGAGATGAAGATTCAACACAAGCTGCTGCTTCCTTAGATACAGAACTGTGACTGATTGGCTTTTACGTATGTGGATATTTTGTACAGTGCTTTGAGGCAACTTCTGTTGTGACTGGTGGAAGTTTTTTAAATGACCTCACTTATGTTCCTAGTTGTATTTATTTAGTAACAGAGAAACGTGTAAACTGCAACACTAAGACAAGCCTCTGTGGCAGGCTGCTCGTCTGCAGGACGTCCCCAGAAACGATGAACCAAACCATGGTTCCACCCTGCTCAGTCAGAACGACACACAACCAACCTCACCAAACTAAAGTTACAACCCCAGTTTTATGTTGGAGGAGAAAATATGATTTTATTTATTTATTTGTTTATTTTCAAAAAGTTGAGAACGTTTCTGAAACAAAACAAACGAGTTGATTTGATACAGATAGTTTGTTGTTGCTGGAAACATTTACAAAACCAATTGTAAAAGCAATGTGGTCAGCAGCGCAGTACGATGTTAACTGACTTTTTATGTACGTGACCGTTTCTGTTCAGTGCTCGGAGACGACGTCGGCTGCGACTCGGCGCTTTAAAGATCAACTGAGGCGAATGCAGCCACAACAAGCTGGCACAACAGGAAGTGCTAAAATGTACCATGACACCGGACAAATGGATAAAATGCTCATCGTCAGAACAGTCCCAGTGCGACAAACAAACCTACTGCTCTTTGCTTTTCCTGCAATGAACAGAACTGTGCAATAGTTTTCAGCAGCCTCTCACTGTGTGGATGCCCAACCCCTCTGTGCTGCGTTCAGCTTCTGGTGCGGTCGTTTCAGCTTACATCAGGACATTATTACATGCAGTGCTCCCTCAGTGCGGACTGAACTGGAGCCGTCATTTCTAACCCGAGCCCTAAGCCCAGCCCCACCTGATCCAAATTCAGGGCGGGCCGTGCCATGATAATGTGCCGGTTGGGCGGGCCGGGTTGGTGTCGGGCTTTTAATTAATCAGCCGCGATTCAGTTATATGATAACATGGCCTGCCATACATTCACCAGCCGCACGCGGCCATTTTACCGTGAGCTGACCGGCACTGAAAGAGGTAAAAAGTTCAGCTAAGCTTCAGATGGACTGTGCTGCCAGGAAGCGACTCATCACCCGAATGGACGTTCATTCAGCCGCTGCAGTCAGTGGACACGCGCAGCCGAGGACCCAAACAGGTGAGATCCCAAAGCAGACGTGTCAGAGCAGGGTCCGTGAATAAATCAGCATGCAGCAGAAACAGGGTTTAAACGCTCTTTTACAGCCATGAAAGGACAAACATCCCTCAGCTCCGATCTTCTGCTGTTTTTATTCACCTGCACGTCCCCGACCGTTCATAACTAATTAAAAATGTTGGGGGTTTCCAGGTTCGGACCTGTAATTACTGTTAATTCGTCAGGGAGAGGACACGTTGAGCCCAGTAGTAGAGAATATGAAGAGCAGCTTAGCTGCTGAACAAAATGAAAAACAAAGACTGTTCTTTCGGAGATGGTTTGGACTTAAATTGTCAGATGAGGGCAGAAAGATGATTTCTGTAAACAATGCTGAAAACAGCCCCGATGAGTCTTTTCACCACTCAAAACAGCGGAGTGGAACATGAGAAGCGTGTCGCAGCTGCAGTTTCAAGTGTTTTTTCAGCCTCCTTTCCTGAAAAAACCGCGGGTCAGAACTCATTGAGCCGTGCTGTGCCTTACAGGAGCAGAGAGCGGCGGCGACATTGATAAATCAGCAGCTTATCTTATCGCTAAAGACACGGTCCGCAGCTGTGGAACAAGACGGCTAACGCTGTAGTCGTCTTGTTCCACAGCTGAGGAGACGTGCACCTCTCTGTTCCTCTCATAAGGCACAGCACGAGTTCTGAGCCGTGGTTATTTTCAGGGAAGGAGGCTGAGGTCTGTCGGACCTGCAGTTTCACACACGCTTACTAACGTGAAGGTGGTGCAGCTGAAGGGACTGTACTGATGCAGCTCCTTTCCATCTCATCACGACACTCAGAGCTCTTTACAGCAATCTGTGCCTCATTCACCCGTTCATACAGCTCTATACTAGATCTACACAAAGAATAACCAGAGCTTTATCACACTCAGACACCGATGGGACACACATCAGAGGCAATGAGGGGTTCAGTGTGTTGCTCAGGGACACTTCAGCAGGTGACTGCTGGTGGAGTCGAACCCACAACTCTTGCATTGGAGGACGGCTGCTCTAACCTCTCAGCCACAGCCGCCCTGAAGCAAGAAAACAACTAATGAACCAAATAATTTCCTCAAACGTGTGATTTTTTCTTACTGAAGGAATTTGGGAGGCTGAGTTGGATCTCTCCAAGCGTCTCCTGGTCAGATCGTTTTCCATTTCGTTCACCTCCTCTTTTAGTTTCTCCAGCTTCTTTTTCTTCATTTCCAGCTCATGCCAGAGTCTGTCCATTCGAGCTTTCTGATGTACCAACAGAGCTGAGAGTAGACACAAACACACTTTATTAGAATCAAACCAACATGGTGACTTGAACTGAAACAAGCAAAACAGATCGCTTCCAGAAGGAATTTCAAAAATGACAAGCGTTTTTGTTATTGCTATACTACAGTTTAGAAATTCTTCATAAGTAAAATGTGAAGTGGGGCACAAGACCACCCTGTGAAGAAGAAAAACAAAATATGAAAAATGCATTAGGCCTCAATGTCTGAGAGTGCAACATCACTCCTGTCCACTAGGGGCAGGCTCCAAAATCATCCCCAGCTCCAGCACGTGCTGATCTACAATCCAAAGCTTTTTATCCTGATCCTGCGTAAAGCCACAGTGGACTTTATTTAGCTTTGATTTGACAGTCTCTGGCACCTAGTTCTTCATCAAATAAACTTCACAAAGAGAACTTTGAAGCCCCTAAACAGTCCATGTCTGTTGAAGACAATCCTCCCAAATCTTATAAAAGGCCATATATTCAGAATTCTTTTGTACTTTACAAGCATGGCATGTAGAAGCATTACAATGTGCACGGGTGACCTCTGAGGATCAAGTGTGTGGGTCCAGCATCCTCCCACACAAGCTCAATTGGACCTGTTGAGTGTTCCTCCAATCGTTTCCAATCCCTTCCGGTCAGCGTTGCAGGACGCACGTTGTGGCAACATGATCATGTAGTTGGAACACGTGTGTCCAGTTAATGGCAGGACCTCATCCTAGTCTTTACAACTAACGCAGAAAATGTGGCAGCAGCATCGTTGTGCTCATCAAGCTGACGTGGAAATCTCATGTCAAATACTTCAAAATAAAATAACAATCAGTTGCATTACTGTGTAAAGGAAAAGAGTTTATGAATGACAAAGCTTTGTAGACATTGTATAATGTAATGATTGTTCCATATTAATCTATTGTACTGAAGTTAGTGGAAAATCATGAAAAACAATTACAAATGCTGTTTGTATTTTACAAAAAGAGCTATAAGAATTATTATTATGAAGTGCTGTGGTCACCAACAAATATATTATTTCATCTGTTGAAATTATTAAAATGTTACGGTTTGGTTGAATATAGTATTTTACAAGTCATGCATAAAGCTCATAAAAATATTAGCCCCAAATATTCAATTAAAATGTGTAAAAAGAGAGCGAGCGAGTCAACATAACCTTAAAACAGTGTAAGTGTTGGTAAAACCTGCGTTTGTCACGAGTGTGAAGGAGCTGCGCTGTAGTTCAGGGAACAGGACGTGGGCTTGTCTTGACATCACCAGAAACATTTCTACAAGTATTTAGATGTTAAAACGACGACAGCTGAAGTTGTTAGAAGGTGCAGGAGCAGGTGAAGGACGCCTCCAGTTTTTGTTTTCACTCTGGAACTTGTTCAAGTGCAGGTTGTTGTTGTGTTAGTTATTTTATGTGCTGTTTGAAAAGGGGCAGATGTTACAGTTTTTCCTTCTTTCTGCACCCTTTTCATTCAGTGCTTGTTCTTTTTGATGAATGAATAAATAAACAGTTCCTTCAGTTATGACAGTGTTATATTTAATGTCCATGCCGTTCGGTTCAAGCCTACAACGTAGAAATGTGAAAAGGTAAGCAGTGTGTTACCTCTCATTCATCTTTCTTTGGATAGCTGGTGCTAATGAATGAAAAACATCTATACCACAGCTCTTTTTCAGAAATGTAAACACTATCTGAACCATTACTGAGGAATTAACATAAACTGTTGTTTCACTCAAACGTGATATTTCTTGCCCATTTGATTCCTCCCAGCTGCTAATTTGCTCTTATTCACAACATCATCTTTTAATTGTCACTATGGTCATTTAAAGTTGTTCTTATCTGATGAATTAGACTGATTTATAAACGTTCACTTCTTATTAAGGATCTCTTGTATTGTCTGACAGTACTGAGTACTTAGGAACAAACACCTCTGACTGCATTTCTAACATGTGCTCACTTGCCAATTAGGAGAAATGTTGTGTAACAACAAAAACTGTACTCTGCTGCAAAACAACATACTATTGATTGTAAGAAATAAATACAACGTTTTATTAACTGTTACACAGCGGCATGTGTGTCTCAATCAGTTCTGAAGACGATTAGGTCAAGTAAAAACATTAAGAGTCAATTTACAGGTTTTTAAAGTGCAAAACCTAAACTTGAGGAGCAAGAAAGAAAGGTGACCGGTGTTAGGCCCCTCTTCGTGGTAGTCGTCACACTGCAGGAGCCAAAGCAGATGACACGCACAGACAAAAGCCCAAAAAAGGAAACAACAGTGTGCCCAACTTCTTTGACTCACGACAGGATCAGTCGTCAGCAGCTGATGGGTGAAACAGAGAATTTAGCACGGAGGAGTCACGCTGTAGTCATTGCAGTGGTCCTCGCTCAGCAAGCCAACTCTTTTATCCACCGCATCCAGAAAACATGGAGAGCACCTCTCCACAACGTATGAACACCAGAACTCATGACTGCATTCAAAACAGTGTTATTACTGACATAAACAATATATAGCTTTAGTAAAGGAGCCCTGGGTAGAATGTAAATAAAGCAATTGAAAGGGAAAACCCAGCATTTTACTTCTCATCAGTCTGGATCGTATGGTTTGAAAACAAACGCACTCTGTTAGGGGTCAGGGGTAAAATCTATTCTCCCATGTATGCAGAAAGGAACTATTTTTTAATCAGTGTAAAACTTTAAAAACGTGTTTATCTATTAGGGGTTGAACGAGTATATCATTTTTAAACTCCACATGAACAAAATAAAACCCGAGTAGAACTCGAGTATTTGATGACGTCATAGATCTCAAGATACAAAAATAAATAAATAAATAAAACCACAAAAAAAGGTAATTACAAAAAAGAAAAAAAAAAACATTGGGAGCGTATGCTCCTACCATTTATCATACTGCAAATAAGTCACAGGAAAAACTAAACTATTAGTTTTTATTATTATACTGCAAACGTGAATAAACGTGCAGCACGTCAAAAACGAAACTTACCCCCCCCCGCACCACCGCCAGCTGTGGTGCATTAAGTTTAGTTTTAGAGATTAATATGTTTATAGATTTTTTTATAGGTTTAGAGATGAATATTTTTTGCTTTTTGTTTGTGAAACAAGAGGAAGCTGGTTCTGGTTCGGTGGATTGGACCCGGTGTTACACCATACTCTGTGACCTGCAACAGTGCAACACCGCCCCCTACGGTCATACGGTGGTCACATAATATGACATCACTACGGATACTCAACGTTACATTTTTAACCTCGATAGAGGTCCTAGCAATCGATGTGTAGATTACTCGCGTACTCTGTTAATGCCCTATTATCTATATTGTTAATGATGGCCTGTTAAAGAATGCAACAGCGTGCAGCATCGTAGCATGTAGCATGCAGCAACGTGGCGTGCAGCATCGTGGCGTGCAGCATCGTAGCATGTAGCATGCAGCAACGTGGCGTGCAGCATCGTGGCGTGCAGCATCGTGGCGTGCAGCATCGTGGCATGTAGCATGCAAAAACATAGCGTGCAGCATCATGGCGTGTAGCATCATAGCATGCAGCAACGTAGCTTGCAGCATCGTGGCATGTAGCATCGTGGCATGTAGCATCGTGGCATG